CTGCGCAGATCCCGCGGCAGAGCCCTCCCGGTTCTCCCGCTCCGGGCGGGATCCGCACCTTGAGCCAGGCACAGTTTGGGGCTTGGGGTGGGAAGCACCCTGGTGACCCCCAAACCCCAACCCACATCACCCTGGGGGTCCCCAGGGTCCCAACATTGAGCCAATGGTGGTGAGGGCACCAGGTATCCCCACATCCTCATTCCCTGACATCTCCCGCCCTTCCCTCCATCTTCATGGCACCATTCCCGAACATTCCACCCAGGAGCAGGGCTGATTAGCGGTAACTTGCAGGGCCCCCGTCTTTTCTCAGGCCTAAAAATCCCCCAGCAGACAGCTGGGGAGTCGGCAAGTCACCTTTCTCCCCCAAAAATCTCAGTTTTCCCACAAAATCTGCCTTTTCCTCAAAATAACCATGAATGGGGTGAGCAGCGCAGCCGCTGTCCCAAGCTCGGAGTCCACAGGGTGGGATGTGGGATTGATGCCCCATTTCCGCTCTTTCTCGCAGCCATCCCGGACCATGGAGGAGCCACCTGGATCCCTGCAGGTGAGAATTTGGGAGCAGCCCTTTGGGAATGCCTCCACAGCTCCGTGAGCAGGGCGGGTGCTGGAGTTGCATCATCCGGAAGCGGTGTCGCGGGGTCCCAGCTCAGGCCCCCACATTTCCTTGACCTCTCCATGCTCCCATTCCTTGTGCTGCTTCCCAAGGCCCCCACCAGGGGCTTTTCCATCATTCCCAGGGTGAAAACCTGCTGGGAAAGGAAGGAAAGCTTCCAATGATGGTGTTTTCCTGGTGTTTTCCCACAGAATCTGACCTGAGACTCACCAGAGGAGGTTGCCACTGCACTGGGATACTGGAGGTGAAATGGGAAAACCAGTGGAGACCAATTTGCTGGGAGAGCATGAGCGTGGGCAACCTGGCTTGGATCTGCCAGCAGCTGAAGTGCGGCCCCCTGACCTCTGAGCCCTTGGAGTTCAACATTCCCGGTGGGAAAGGACTACAGAGTCTGGCCAGGAGGTGCAGTTCCCCGCCTGAATGCCAATGGGAGCTGGAAAACTGCACAAATCACGTCATTGTTGCCTGTGGAGGTGAGCCTAGACCCCCAGCCCGGCCACCTCAATCCCTAGGGATCATCCACGCCCACGTGGCCCCTCTCTTCTCATTCCAGAGCCGGTGAAAACCACTCCCAAGCCCCCACCAGCACCCCCGACCACCACTCCGGAGCCCACGGGTAAGTGCCTCATCCCACAGAATCCATAGCCTCAAATTTGGGAACTTCCCGCTAAATAGTGGGAAAATTGCCATCCCAATCCATAACACTTCCTCTTCCTTCCCCAATCCCTCCCCAGGACCCCCCAGGCTGCGGCTGGTGGACGGGAATTTCAGCTGCTCCGGCTTCCTGGAGCTGCACAAGCAGGGGCTGTGGGGGGCCGTGGCGAGCATCCCGCGCTCCTGGACAGATCTGGTCACCCTCATCTGCCAGGAATTGCGCTGTGNCGACTGCAGCCACAAGGAGGACGCCGGCGTGGTTTGCTCAGGTGGGTTTGGAACATTCCAGAGCTGGGGGTGCCAATGGCGCATCCTCACCGCCGCGCTCTTCCCGCAGAGCACCAGGAGTGGCGGCTCTCCGGAGGCCGGGATGCGTGTGCCGGCAGGGTGGAGGTGTTTTTCCGAGGCACCTGGAGCACGGTGTGTAACAGCACGTGGTATGACACGGAGGCCGCGGTGCTGTGCCGGTCGCTGGGATGCGGGGATGTGCTCCAGCGGCTGGCCTTCCCACACACGCTGCCCGGGAAGATGACATACATGTGCGGGAGCCTGCAGCCCTCGCTGGCACAGTGCCACTGGACCTTCAACAAATCCGCGCCCTGTTACCAATCCGGGGCTGCCGGGGTCATCTGCAATGGTACCGCATCCTTCCCGATGGGATCTGAGGCACGGCCTGAGTCCGGCTCGCTCCCAAGCATCTGATTTCTGTTCCTGCCCTTTCCAGGCTCCCAGGGTTTGGAGATGCCAACGCCCACAGTGGCTGAGGTGACGCCCAGGAATGTCACTGCCCTGCAGGGTGAGTGTCCGAGCCCTCGGCCATTCCCTGGGATCAGGGTACAATTCCCAGGAGGTAAGATTCCTGTGGGATGAGCTGTGTCCATTCTCTGTTCCAGCCGAGGAGGGGACCCCGACCCCGGGGACACCACTGGTGGACAGTCTCCTCTTTATCCTGTGCCTGGTGCTGGGCGCGCTGCTCCTGCTCTCCGTGCTGGCCTTTTCCACTGCCCTGCTGAGGCTGAGGAAGAGGAGTGGTAAGGAATTCTGGATTTGGACATGGAACTGGGACACAATCCCCACTTTTTGGGCTCAGCTGAGCCATGGAGTGTGTGCATCCTGTTGTCCCCACAGCCATGTCCTCCTTGGGAACTCCCATGCCAGTCCTGGTGACCCACAGCTCCCAGAGCCCCAACGCACCCTCCGGGATCTCCAACGACTACAGGCAGGCTCCCACCAGCCTTCCCAAAGGATCAGGTGGGTCTGGCAGGTCCCCCCAGGGGCTGTGGGGCCAGAGGTGCCAGCTGGTGACAGATGCCACATCCCCTTGTCACCCCCCAGACTGTCTGGTCAAAGGCATTTCCAAGGATTCTGATTCCGACTCGGAATATTATGAGTTCAGCAGCAAGCCTCCCATCGCCCTGTCCACCTTCTACAGTGAGCATCCCGCTTTCTCTGGGATCCCTGAGGCCCTGTCCTGGGATCCCTGTCACCCAGGATGTTCCCACCCCTCTGCCCTTCCCACAGACTCCCTGCGCCGGCATCCCAGGGAGGATCTCCTCCCTCCGAGACCCAGCCAGGACAGGATGGAGCCATTCCCTGTGGATGGTATGGCACAAGGGGGGTCTATCCCATGGATGGAAGGGTAGCCATGCCCTCTTCCAATCTCTTTGTTACCACATTTGATGCCCTTGTTCCCACAGAGCTGGCCAGGCCGGGCCCCCCACTCCGCAGCTCCTCCAGCTCATCCTCATCCATGGAGCCCTATTGGAATGGCAGCATTCCCCCCCCTGTCCACGGCTACAGCACAGGTGGGAAGTGTGGGAGCAGGGATGGGGAGACCCCAATGATGGGATAAAGGGATGCAGAGACCACAGGGATGGGGAGGAAACGGGGGTTCAGGGACCCCAAGCAGAGGAGCAGGGATGGGAGCAGGGATAGAGGGACCCCAGGGATGGGAAGATGGATGGGTTCAGCCTCAGTGAGGAAATGGGATCCCAGGGAGTGGGAGCAGGGCTGGGCAGTGCCAGTCAGTGACTCTGCTCTTCCCAGCGCCCCCAGCTCCCCCGGCAGCGCCCTCCCAGCCCTGGGCACCTGCGGCTCCGGCAGATCCTGATCCCGATCCCAACGGCAGCTCCAGCACCTCCTCGGGGGAGTGGTACGAGAACGTGCAGGAGAGGGAGCCCCCCGGAGACCCCTCCTCACATCCAGGTGAGGATCCTGCGCTGGAGATGGGGCACACGGGGAGTTCCAGGCATTCCCAAATCCTCCTGACGGGCTCTGTCTCTGCAGGCTGGTCAGATCCGTCCTATCCCTCGGGGGAACACGGGGAGGATCCCGACTTTTCCGAGGGCAGCGACTACGACGACATCCAGGACTCTGCCTACTGAGCCTGCCCCACCACTCCAGAGGCCGAATCTCCTGGAATTCTCCAGCTTTCTCCTCCAGAATTCTCCAGCCATCTCCTCTGTGCTGTCATTAAAAGCTTTTCCCACCGTGTCCCTTGTCCATAGGGGTGTCACCAGCCCCGCAGTGAGGCTGGGCCACCAAGTGCTCCCACTCGTCCACTAAGTGACACAGACATGGCCAAATATCCCACTCCCAGCCCACAGGAGCTGGGAAGGGGGAGGCAGGGCCCTGATCCAGCTCCATGGCACCAGGGGTGGAAATTAAACTGCAGGAAGGGCGGGCATGGAAGCCCCATGTGTCCCCCCAGAGCTTGCCCACACCCTTCTGGGACAGTCCCCATCCCGGGAACATGCTGCCCATAATTCCTGTCCAGGAAGGCTCCAGGGATGCTGGAAGGGAAGCCACTGAGGTGCCACCCCAAACCCATGGGATGGTGCCCTGTGAGGGTGGGATACAGACCCCAAACCCTTCAGCATCTCCCAATCCATCCATATCCCAGTGAGAAGCTGGAGCCAAGCACCATCCCAGCTTTGGGATTTGGGGTGCTCCCAGCTGGGAGGGGGCACAGCACCCACCCATCACCCCGGGACTGGGACCCCTCTGCCCCTCTTCCCACCACCCATCCCATCCCATCCCATCCCATCCCATCCCATCCCATCCCNGTGCCCCCAGAGGTGAGGGGGGGGTCTCCCAGCCCTGTCCTTACAGGGGCTGGATCCCGGCGGCACCAGGGAGGAATTTGGGATGCTCTTACTGCTTTGGGTCTCATTGCGACATGGTGTTCATAGTGGTGATGATGATGGTGGTGATGATTCCTGTGGTCTGATCCCGGGGAGGATCCCGTATCCCCCCACCTTCACCCCGGCCACGCATCCGTTTTGTACACATTTTTTATCGGGAATGCCCGGGAAGTGGCTGCCAGGGGCTGGTATTTATGGAAAATTTTTAATTCTGACGTTGTTACAAAAATAAAGTATTTAAAAAAAACAATTGGGATTCTCCTCTGTGCTGTCTCCTGTGATCCTGACAGCGGGTCCCACCCTGCCCCCATGGCACTGCCAGGCTCCTGGGAATGGGCACATGCCCTTGACCTTGGCTCCACATGGGAGCTGGTCACGGGATTGGATCCAGGGCTGGGCCTGGCTGTGGCCCAGCTGGGGTCACCTTGGGATAAGGCATCTCCTTCCTCCCTTTCCTGCCATCTTCCTCCTCCACCTTTCCAACCCCAACACCAGCCTGGTACTGCATGTCCCCAACATTCCCCTCAGCACCTCCCTATATTAGTACCCACGGGGATTCCCACTCTTCCAGCTTCCCAGTAAGTCCCAGCAATCCCAGGACACCCTGGGTAACAGCAGGAGATCCCACCACCCCATCACCCTGCTCCCAGCTTCCCCAAACTTCCCAAAACCCTTCTGAGATGGGGTGACTGGAGTCCTGACCCCCTTCCCAGCATCCTGGGTCCCCGGGTGTCCAGCTGGATCCCAGCCCTCACCCATGGTGGGGATCAATGTCTCCTGGGATGCCCCACCTCCCATCTGTGGAAATTTCAGCCTTACCCCTCACCTAATATTCCTGGAGGGTTCTGGGGTGATCCTGCATGTGCTGGAAGACGCTCAGGATGTGGAGCTGCAGGTGACTGACTCCAAAAAACAGGGAGGAGAGGAGAATTCCTGGCTCTTCATCACTCCATAGTTCTCCCACACCTCAGGAGGCCCCGAGCCCCCTGTGCCACCACCCCAAATCCACGACCCAGAGGCACAAACGAGCTGTGGATCACCATGACTCCACCAGATCTGTGTCCCCCGTGCTGGGAGCAGCAGACCCACGGGGTTCCCATGCCCCGGAGGGTCTCTGGGCTCCCCAAAACCCTGCTTCCTCCCCGCCAGGGCAGGATGGAGCCACCCCATCACCTCCTCCACCCCAGAGCACTGAGTCGGCTTCCTGCCCACCGCCACAGTCCCGGAGCTGCCGGAG